ATAATAATAATAATAATAGTAATAGAATCATTAGCAAGACCTCGAAAAGGGATATAATTAATTTCGCCATTGATAATGATGGCGATGATGACCAAGATGATCATGATGATGATGATAAAAACGACGACGATGATGATGATGAAGATAGAAACGATAGTGATCATGATGATGACGATGATGACAACGACGATGATGTTGTTAATCGGCCTAAAAATGATGTTGGGAGAGCTCAGAAATCTAAACGCTCAACTTCTAAGGTGTGTGTGTGTTTGTTTTTGTATGTGTGTGTGTTTGTTTTCGTTTGTGTGTGTATGTGTGTGTGTGTAAGAGAAAGAGTTTGTGAGTGTGTATATGTATGTGTGCGTGCGTATGTGTGTGTGAGTGTCAATGTAACATACGCTACCATAGGTAGTACTAATAATGCATGCATAAATGAATGAATTATTATAATTAGTAAGACGCGTTTGAGTAATTTAGCATAAATTAATTCAATAGATCTGCGCCCAATTCGACATGGGTGGACATCTGCTCTGCAACGTCGGTGACGTCATCTGCAATAAATGTACGCTTGTGCCATCTGTCGTAATTTTGTTTACGTTTATTAATTTTATTTATTATTATTGTTATTTATATTATTATTATTATTGTTATTAGAATTACTATTTTTATTTTACTATATTATCATTATGAATGATGCAGATGAGATATTGTCACTGCTGAAGAAGGGCTCGTCGTCACGAATATACAAATCAAGAACTCTAAAAAAGTATTTTTGCCATCATCATCATTATTATTATTATTTATATTAAATCAATTTAATTATTTATCAATAGTAGAGTAAGATATAAATAAAAGTAATTCTTTATAAAATTTTCAAATTAATTAACGTGTATAAATCAGAAGAACTGCCGATAATATTTAATCATTAATATCTGAAAAACTGTCAAACACACCCTTCTTCTTTATTTTCCTCTCTCTCTCTCTCACTCTCTCTCTCTCTCTCTCCCTTTTTCTCTCTCCCTCTTTCTTTTTCTCTCTTCTCTCTTTTCTCTTTCTTTCTCGGACTCTCTCTCTCTCTCTCTCTCTCTCTCTCTCTCTCTCTCTCTCTCTCTCTCTCTCTCTCTCTCTCTCTTTGCATTTACCTTTGAATACGCGTTTTTTCATTATATGAGTTTGACGGGCATGAATCAAAGAATCTCTTCGCACTAGAACCCGGTCTCTGCGAAGCTACTAGGCAGAATCAGATCAGGCGCCTCTAGCCATTACACCATCTCGTTGCTAGTGTATGGTAATATCTGTAAAATTACAACATTACGACGAATACGTTTCTTCTCCTCTACTACAGAGAGTCGTTCAGACCTGCTTATGTCGCTCTAAAAGTAATGCGTAATACACTGCATTACCGTAACGCCGGCGAGAAAGAAGTAAAAATACTAGAGTACATTCATAGTAGCTGTAGTAGCAGTAGTGCTACTTGTAGTAGTAGTAGTATTGGTAGTGGTGGTAGCGGCTGTGGTAGCCGCGGTAGTAGTAATAGTGATGATAAAGACGAAAAGTTAGTATAGTATTTTTGTTTATTTATTCATTTTTTAATTCTTATATCTGTGTAATTCATTTTAATTAGTAATAATAGTTATTCTATTAATAATAATTATAATTATAGTAATAATAATAATAATATAATAATAATGATGATAATAAAGTTATTGCGTGAAGCTGTGGTCGTCTTTTGATTATTTTGGTTGCTGCTGTCTGGAGTTTGAACTGCTTGACGTCAGTGTCTTTGAGTTTATGGTAGGTGTGGCTTTTCTTCATTCATTCGTTCGTTCCTTCATTCTTTCGTTTGTTCGTTCGTTTGTACGTTCGTTCGTTCTTTCGTTTGTTCGTTTTATTTTTTTTCGTTCGTTCGTTTTCATTCCTTCAAACTGTTTTTCAATTGTAATCGTATGGATTTTACATTAATTTTTCCAATATAGCTTATAATATTGATAATAATAAAAAAAAAATAATAATATGATGATGATGATGGTGGTAAGAATTTATTGTGCAGTTTTATAGTAGGCTTATAAGTTTAACAGGGCGTATACATTGCATTGATTTCATTATTCATCAACTTAATCACTCGTTCATTTATGCTATTCATTCATTCTTTCACTCACTCACTCATTTCTTCATTCATTTGTTCATACATTTATCCCCTCATTCATTCATTCACTCATTCATTCCATCATTCATACACTCATTCATTCCATCATTCGTTCATTTTTTGGAACAGAAAAATAACAGCTTCCAAGCTTACTCCCTTTCTCAAGTTAAGCACATGGGCCAGCAACTATTAACCGCCCTACAATGTAAGCCATCCTCATTAACATAATTTATTCTCTTTGTATATACATATATATATATGTGTGTGTGTGTGTGTGTGTGTGTAATTATATGAATAAATTAGCATTAATTATAATAAATCAATGTTCGTATTTATCGGGTTGGTTTTCGTTTCTATGTTATCTTTGTTTATTCTTATATCTATTTAGTGTTTTTTATTGGGGGATGGGTTGGCTGATGTTTGCCTGTACTGTGCTATACTGTATGTGGTGTGCTTATGAGTATTGTTCACATTAACTATGTTATACCATTGTTAAGTTTTCTATTACTAATACTAGGGTTTTCACTTATATTAAAGGTTAGTTGGTTTTAGTATACATACATACGTACGTACATACAAACAAACGAACATACATCCAAACATACAAGCATGCATACAGACATATACATACATACGTACATTCGTACATACATAAACACAAAACAAACATACATTTACATGTACACAAACGTACATATACATTTACATGTGTTTTAGATTACTTTTACGCTTATATATTTATATTTGTACGTATGTTTATATATATGTGTGTGTGTGTTTGGTGTGTGAGTGTTGGAAAGAGTGTTGGAAAGGTTTATAAATACTGTATAAGTTTTACCGAATTATTGGCATTAATCAATTTAAATATGCTTTTTCTGTGTTCTAACTGGCAAATGTTCTAATTAATATTAATTTATTTTAATTAGCCTAGGCTAACCGGTTAAATTAATGTAAATCAATGTTTGTTTATGCAAATTTATCTTCTTGACAGTTCTCCACGATAGGAACATCATACATACGAACGTCAGACCCGAGAGTGTAATGTTTGTTGATTCATCTTATGACGTAATCGTCGTAAGTTTTTTATCATTTTATTATTATTGTTGTTGTTTTTGTTGTTGATGTTGTTGATGTTTGTTTTTTTTTGAACATTCATATTCAACAATCTATTTCTCTCAACCAGTTATGTTCAAAGTGCATTTTAATCATCCATCACGTCCATCCAGGACCCGAGTACCAACCAATCGTATAACAACATTAAAAATACTTCAATCCGATTGGCTCATTTCGAATCAGCCGTCAGGTCAGACTCCTCTAACAATATGTCAGTCATATCAGCCAGGCAGTACAAAGCTATTGAAGTTTTACTGGGTTAGCTCATAATTTATTCATAATTTCATAATAATTATTATTTTTAAATAATTTTATGAAAAAAGCCATATTCTGATAAATACTTCTATTAAAATATCTCGTTCGTTCGTTCAGTTTTATTCATTCAGTTTAGTCATTCATCCATTATTTCATTCATTCAGTTAGTAAGTAAGTCATTCATCTTTTCTTTATTTTTTTCATTTGTGCAATCAGCTGACTAATTTTACCTTCAATCTATTAAATTAAAAATTAATTAAAAAACTATCTAACTTGAGTAACCACTAACCATTCAGTCAGTCATCCATCCATTCATTATTTTGTCATTCATCCATCTGTCCAGTAGCCTAATTTTACTATCAATCTATCCACTAATCAATAAATACTACCTTGCAACTAACTTATCTAACAGAATTAGGCTGGGGAAACAAATGCGACATCTGGAGTCTGGCCTGCGTTCTCTTCGAGTTCTACACGGCTGACACGTTATTTCAAGTTCGAAAATTGATCCTTTTATTATTATTATTAATTAATTAATTATATAACATAATATACTTAATATACTTAATTAATTAAGTATATTATGTTGTTGTTGTTATTATTGTTATTGTATTTTGTTTTAATTACAGTCGCACTCGAACTTAGAACATTTGGCCATGATGGAGGCGACGTTAGGAACCATTCCAAGTCACATCTGCCTAAACTCCAAGTCAGTTCACTGATTGATTGATTGATTCATTTATTGGATTAATTGATTGACTGATTCATTCATTGGATTAATTGATTGATTTATTCATTCATTCCTTTATTCATTCATACGAACATGATTACAGGAAGCCTAAATTATTCCTGAATGGTCGACTGAGGTGGGACCATAACTCGAAGGAGGGTAGGTACGTCCTGAAGAACTCGAAACCGCTGAAGGTCGTTTGGAGATGAATGAATGAATTAATTAATGAATTAATTAATTAATTAATTAATTAATTAATGGATGAATGAATGGTTGGTGGTTGATTGAATGAGAGGTTGATTGAATGAATGTCTAACTGACTGACTAAATGTTCAGTTGAATTTTTTTTTTAAATTTTATTTTCTAACAATTTTCTATATATATTTTCAGACATACGCAAAAGCGAATAGCGAAGATGATGTTAACTTCATGGACCTTTTGAGATGCATGCTGAATTACGATGCCTGTAATAGATACACAGCCTCTGAAGCCCTGAGACACCATCTGTTTTTGTAATTAGTTTGATATGTATGTTATCCTTATTTGATTTTTGGGTTTATTTTTTGTTGGTTCATGAACGTGTTATACATTTTTTTTAAATGTCTGTTTATATATTTATCGAATTTATTTATCAAATTGTAAATTTATTGCTATAATCATTATTTTGTTTGTTTGTCTATTTATTTATTCATTCATTCCTTTATTTATTCACTTGTTCATTTATTTATTCATTCATTTATGATTAACATAATTTATTCATGATTTGTTTTATTGGGGTTAGGAATTTTTGTTTAAAGATGTTTTTTGTTTAACTGACGTTTTGGACTGATTTAACTTTCTCAAAATTTTCATTTAGTTTTGTTTTTTTTTGATAATTTTTTAATTGTTTCAACTAAGTTGATTATATGACATTAATTTTTAGTTGATATGTTTATTTAAAACATGCTTTTGATTAATTTATTTTAAAATTATTTGGATAAAACTTATGAAAATACAAAAAAAAAGTTTTCGATGCAAAATTCTTAAATATGCAGTTAAATAGAATACATGTGCGTTGTTTTGTAATGCTTTTTATCGGAAGTTTAAAAAAATGAAATGAAAAAAGAACATCTATAGCAGCTTATACATAGATTCTAAAAACATTGATTGCCAAAAATAAAATTCTGTGTTTGTTTTAGTTATCGCTCGGCAAGTTTCTTGTTCAAACATGATTAATCTTGTAAGATTTTCACCAAGAGTTGAAAATTAGTAACTAAAATTTCAAAATGCGACGTTAAATAAAATAAATAAATTAACGTTTTTTTGGTGTTTTTGTTTATCTTCTTATTTATTTTAATGTTGAAAGGTTTTTTAATTGGATTTCATTTAAATTTAAAATTTGAAATGCCGCCAACTTATTTGGAGTTTTCAACTTTTGTTTCGTTTGTGACTCTGTGCTAAATTATAATTAATCAAGTAATAAAATTAGGTTAATCTATAAGCTTATAGTTATGTATATACAAGAAGGCAAGTTATATCTGTAATATTGTTTTTTAGTATTATTCAAGATTTGAATTTCCCTGAGATGTTGACTGGTGTTGATTAGGAAAGAATTTTTAAATCAGACATTTTATTCATAATTCATTCTTCAACTGCATGGCAACTGATGACTTATATTTCCTTCGTCTTTCATTCTCATTTTGCATTAAGAGATGGTGTAAAAAAATGACCAACAAAAGCCAAAAGATGGCATGTTGATATCAATTGCTTCTGCTTTTTATATGAGATCAGCTACTTGTAGGTAGAAGTAGATATATCTAACTTTCCCCATAGTGTTCATCACCTGTGTGCGTGTATGATGCTTCCAAAATGGCTATTTACAAGGTGCCACCTTATTTAAAAGAGCAGCTGAGGAAAAGGTTATCAAGTCAGAGGCAGGATGAAAAAGCGCATGTTGGTGATGGAAAACAAGAAAATGGAATTGATCCAGATCAGGTATTTATTATAAAATTTATTTTTTTTATATCCAATTATTACAGTTTTAATTTTAGAACTTCACTAAAAGTTTATTTATTATCTTTTTTTAAAATTGTATACCTCATTTACCCCAAAAGCCAAGAGGGCCAAAAAGTTACCTTGATGTAGCCATAGAGCTGGCAAAAAGAGATGTGAAGGAGAAGAATTTTCATTTTTATAACATGATCCACCAAGATGAAAACTTGAAAAATTTATTTGAACAACAAAACCTGCATATTAATAACAATGTTGATGATGATGAGGATGACGGTGGGGATGGTGTTGAAAGAAATAGTGATGATGAGGAAGATGATGACGCTAATAAAGGTGCTACATTTGAAATTAGGAAAAAAAGCATCAAAAAGCTTCCAGGTTAATATAAAATTATTTAATTTATAAAACAAACTTTTTATAACCAATTATGATTTTTGTAATTATTCAATAACTTTATTATGATTTTATTTCCAGCAAGAAGTTTGTCTCCGCCAACTCGAGATTTTAATCTTAATTCTATGATGCCAAAAAAACCGATTAAAGTGATCAGTCGAGTGAAATTAAGGACAGAAATTGAGAGACTTACTGGTGATATTAATAGATCTGTACAGAGAGTTGTTGTTTTAGCTGCTGTGAAAGTGTTAGATGGAAATAATTATGGTTGGTTGGCTGAGGGCTTATTTATTGTTGTTTGATTGATTGATTGATTGATTGATTGATTGATTGATTGATTGATTGATTGATTGATTGATTGATTGATTGATTGATTGGTTGATTGGTTGATTGATTGATTGATTGATTGATTGATTGATTGATTGATTGATTGATTGATTGATTGATTGATTGATTGATTGATTGATTGATTGATTGATTGATTGGTTGATTGGTTGATTGGTTGATTGGTTGATTGGTTGTTTTATTGATTGATTGGTTAATTGATTGACTATTTAATTAATTTATTAATAAATAGATATTTTTTAACATACCACTGAATTCATAAGAAAACGAAAATAAATTTTTGAGTTTAAGAAAAATCAGTAATAACCCTCCTATATACATAACCCAAATTGTCAGATGATTCTCTAGAGGTCATGAAACGAAAGGTCAGGGTCATGGAAAGGTCAACTCGAATCTCAAGGTCATTGTATGAAGTTGATAGATTAAGTAGGAAAGTGATGATGACGACGGCAAGCAGTAATGACGGTGATGGTGAGAGTAATTTGGTTAGTTTAACCTGTTCAATTATATTTATATAATTTTTATAATTATAAATATATTGTTATAATTAATGAAAATAATTTAGTCAAATATAGTGTTGGTATTTAAATAATAATGATTCTGTTTCTTCTTTATATTTCTTTTTTTAACTTTCTCTTTCACTATTTTCCTGTTGCACTCACTTTTTGCTCAATCACTCTTTTTTTCTCACTCATTTATTCCACTCTTTTTTTCTCACTCTATCTTTCTCTCACCTTCTCTCTCACCATCTCTCTTTCTCTCACCACAAAGACCAGTCTTAACCAGTTGCTGCCATGCCTGAGAGGCTCACATAAAATTCTTGTGATGGTAGTACAACAGATGAGTGACATGCTGGACCCGTCAGCATTCGTTAGGTCAAAGATATATAGGGATGTGCTTGCTGTCATCGAGTTAGTATGATTGGATGTTTGATTCTTTGGTTGTTTTTTTTTCTATTTCTGTTTATTATTTTATCTAGTGTTTGTTTTGGAAGGGTGGATTGAAATTTTAGAGTTTTTGAATTTGAAAATTTTTGATATTTTCGCGAATTAGGAGAGTGGCGTTGATGTTGAATAAGTTGGCTGGGAGGGAGGAATTCATTCAAACGGTTATGTGGTCTTCTGATCTGAAAAATATTCTGGTTGGTTGGTTGGCTGATTGATTGGATTATTGTTTCATTGATTTGTGATTGAATTATTGATTTAATTCATTGGCAGGTTGATTGTCTAATTGATTGATTTGTGATTGAATAGATTGTTTATTTGAATGACTATTTGGCTAATTAATTAATTAATTAATTAATTAATTAGTTTGGTTTGCTCTATCACCCAACCAATTAATTAATTATAGCATCCAACTGATCCTTCCTTGAATGCAAACATCGATTTGAACAACAACAACATCGTTGAAAGTAAAGAAGAACCAACCACAACAGCAGCAGATGTAAACACAGAAAAAGTGAAACAAATAATACAAGAGAGGCAGAGAACATTGGAAACACATCAACAGCAGCTGCAACAGTTGATCTTGCAACAAAAAGAAAATGAGCCACAACCACGTCACTTGCAGCAAAAATCTATATTAAAAAATCAGACAGATAACTCAAAACACTCAAAAACTTCAGCCCTTTCTCAATGGTTAAGACTCTTCATGTCCAAAGAAACACCAACACCACCAAGTATTGGCAAAGAAAATTTAGAAACCAATTCACACCAGCAGCCTAAAGCACTACCATCTACCAGAAAACCGTCACAACTTTCAATGCTACAAAGATTTGTTAAAGATCGTGAACTGTCAAGGTTGAAAAGATTACAAGAATTGAAAAGAAGTCGGAGCAGCGGTAGTAGCACAAAGCCAGCTTCAATTCTCCCAGAAGCATCAACAGCAGCTGCAAAAATGGTAAAAAGATATCCACGTTTCAACAGTGTTAGATCTAAAAGTAGTCCGTCTAAGTTGATGACAAGAATTTCGAATCAGAGGAATGTTGGAGTTGGTAGAAGCAGTAATAGCGATGCTGATGATAGCGTTGTTAAATGTCCTTACTGCGGTAATGAGTTTCAACATAAGAAGCCAAAAATTATTTTCAGCGTTTGTGATGATGATGGTGACGTTGGTGATGATGATGTTGCTGGTGATGATGTTGGTGATTCAAGACAAACAAACCCCATCAACAAACATCATCTTAGTTCTAAAACTTTCAAAAACTATAACAACAATGTTGACAATTGCAAACTTCATTGTCATAATCTTCGTTGCTACTCATGTCGGCTCAATTATCAACAAAAACAACAGCAACAACAACAAAAACGTCATCAACAACTTCACCAATCGTTCCTCAAACCGGCTAAAACAGCAACTGCAACGAAGAAATGGTTTGATGCTGAAGATATAGTGCTAATTAATGATGACGCTGATCAAAAGAACGATGATCAAGGTAATGGTGCTGATTTCAGGAAGTTGAAAGAAAAATTGAATCAGATTGAGGTAAATTTATTTTCATTATTAACATAATTATTAACATAATTACTATAATTATTATTTGCTATATAATTATATTTTTTTTTCTCAGATTGAAAGACAAGCAATAAAAGACAAATGGTCTGTTAATACTACCTCTGCAACAGTAACTACTAACGAACGACATTCTACTATAAGTACCACTTCTACTGCTGCTGCAGCTCCTACAAATACTTTTGCAGCTACTACTTCTACTACTACTACTACTTTAACTACTACAACTGCAACTACTTATAAAAAATCAAAAACAGAAACCGAAAAGAAACAGCAGGAAAATCCAATTAACCAAAACCTGGAAATCCCATCAATTAAAAATAGCAAAAGCACCAATGATATAGAACGGATGAACGAAATTTTAAATTATTGGGACGAAGTTGACGGGGATTTTTTCAAATATGTCGATTTCACTGGCGTTAATGCCGACGACAAGTTGAAAATGAATGACCTCACAAATTTAACAGCCAGCAGTAATAAGAATTTTTCAAAAATTGCCAGTGCTAATTATCATGCAACAGAGAATGACAATGTTTTAAGCTTTAAATTAAGTAAACTAGATATAGCTGATGATAGTACGGTTAAATTACCGCATAATACGCTTCAAGCAGCTAGTAAGACAGACACCAAAACACAAGTAGATAACAAAAAATATCAAATAATTTATAGAAAACCAGTTTTTTTGAGCCTAGATGAAGCTTCCTATCGGAATATCATGAAAAGCAAAAAACTATCAGACAGACGAGCAAAGAATAAAAAAATAAAACTCAAAATGGCGACCAGAGACACTGATGGCGATGATAATGATCCTGGGGACAAGATGGCGGAGGAAGATGTCGATTTTGACACACTATCTGAGTATCTCACGGATAAATTAGTGAATGTATGTCTGAGGGATGTTTGTGATGAAATGGAGAGGGTTAATAATCAGGTTGTTGAGAAAGTTTTCCAATCTGAATTCAACAGCTAAGGTTGTTGGTTGCTGTTAGTAATTTTCACTCTCTCTCTCTCTCTCTCTCTCTCTCTCTCTCTCTCACTTTTATTTCTCTCTCTCTCACTTTTTTTTTCTCTCTCTCTCTCTATGTTAGGGCCAAATTTTGTTGTTGTTCATTACAGCAGTAATTAATTTTCTATTAAGCACTTTTTCCATCGCTATTCAGTGCCAAATTTAAATTGTGTTACTGTTAATTATATTATCATCTATCTTACGTATACATCGACTTAAAATATGTTATAAAATCAAGTAATGACGACGCTCACGATGGTAAAATGATTATTATTATTTTACAAATATTGTATTGTGTGATTTTGTTAGCGCTTTAGATTTCCCATTTTTTGAAGGGAATTTGAGTTTTATTAAGCTCTTGTTTAGATTTATAATCGTTTTTTTCTACTAGCTGTCTAGTTTTTTTTTAGTTTTAATATCATTAACTAGCACTGATATACATTTATTATTAGTATTGAGTCGTATGTAAAAATTTTATAATTCTATGTTTGTGTTTGTATTTGTTTGTTTGTTCGTTCGTTCATTTATTTGTTTGTTTGTATTTACATACATTACCTATGTTTGTGATTGTATATTTATTCAATGAGTGGTATGCTTTGTAGATTTGTAGGTAATTTTAGCGTGATGACGTTGTATGCATGCATGTACGTGTCTGTCTTTTTGGCTGAGGTCTTCCATATTCATGTTTGTAGATTCCTTTTAGTATCTATCCTTGAATTAAAATTTTTGTTGTTTCAAATATTACTACCGTTTGGTTGTTACTGTTATTCGATTTACTTTTTTGCACCTGATGATATTAGAGTTGAATTTTAGAGTTGAGTTTTACAAAAGTTCAATATATTATATTTGCTGTGTGATTTAGACGTTATATTTTAATAGCAATGTTAAGGATGATAATAATTTTAGTGTTAATGAGAGCTCGTGATCATATGATAACCTTCCTACAATTGTTAACTGATATTATTTGCACGTTTTACTCGAAACGTAATATCATATACGCGTGTGTATATTTAATCATTTTGATTCATATGATTTTCTTAGGCCATAATTGTTTTTTGCCTCTATTCTTAAATTAAAAATTCTTTTCTATTGAAAATATTTGATTAAATTAACTTAATAATCGTTTCCATTTTTCTCTTACAGAATAAATTTTATCATTTTCCAAATATTTGAATAATTTTTTTACTAACTGTGTGGGGTTGAATATTTTTGCCCTAATTTAGTTTTTTTTCATTTCATTTAACGTTAACTTTATTTTTCATTCTGTAGCTTTGCACTTGAAAATAATTTCAAAAAAGGTGTTTTTTGTTTTTGGCTTAGTTGAATTGAAAACTATTCTAATTTTTTCAATTTTCATTCATTAAAAACTACAGATTCGACTTTGAACATAGAAATTCATATTCAATAGGAAAGAAAAGGAAAGAATAACAGATATGTTAGCTAAAACGTTTTTATTGACACAGCTTGATGCTGTTGAAACAATTGAATCAGCGCTACTGTAACAAGTCCTAAGACGGCCATCAGCCAACAGAAGAACAACAGTACAACTCGGCCTGCGTATGAAGTATCGTAACTAATGTCCGGATTATCTTCAGGGAGAGGGCCTTTAGGCATCAACCATAATGTTATTGTGACTATCAGGGCCAGGAAAAATGTACCGACGGCAGCAAATGCAACTTTCCCTCCGATACGGACGGCGAACAGCCAAATGATTAGGGCTGTCAACCACAATACTGTTAAGATTATTACGCCAGTCCCGACCATGTTTCGCAGACTTTTTGAATGATATATTTAAAAAATTTTAAGTTATAATGGGTCATTCGAGTCATTTATTTGTTTAAATAAAATTGAACTGCTTATTATGTTGCTATTGGCAACATAGAACTTTGATTATAGTGAACAAGTACTGAAAAATTGATTATCGTAGTTCTTTGTAAACAACCTTTCCTTTTCCGACCAGCATTTTCTGAAAGTACACTGCTCTTTTAACAAGCTTAGGCCAGTCCGGCGGCGTGTATTTATTTAGAAGTAATCCATTAAAAACAATTTTGTATTTTTATTTTTAAAATATTTCCCATTTATTTTTTGTTAAAATTTTTGTGTTTCAGATTGAAATAATGGCTTCAACAGTTGAACAACTTGCATGTACGTACGGCGCATTGATCCTGGCCGACGATGATATCACCATCACGGTAACTTACTACTTCGAGCTTTATTTTATCAGATTTTTTACGTTTAGCCATTCAAGCATCTCATTTTAAGAATTATTTTATTATAAAACTAATTTGATTGTTTAATTTTTTCAGGCAGAAAAGATCAGTACATTGTTGAAGGCTGCAGATGTCGATGTTGAACCAATTTGGCCTTGTTAGTTAACTGTTCATTCATTTTCTTTAATAACTAATTCTCTTTATTAGTTGACAAAAGTACAAAATCTTTTTCATTTGATTTTAAAATTAAAACTAGAGCCAGTTTTTATGTGTCCTGTTGAATTTCCTATTAAAATTACATGTCTATTTTTACTCTTTCAGCCTTGTTTGCCAGAGCTCTCACTGGGATGAACATCCGAGAGTTAGTGTCAAAAGTAGGAAGTGTGGGTGCTCCATCAGGTGCACCTGCCGGAGGTGCCCCTGCCACTGGAGCTGCTCCTGCTGCTGAAGCTAAAAAAGAAGAGAAGGAAGAAAAGAAAGAGGAGGAGAAAGAAGAAGAGGAAGATGAGGATATGGGCTTTGGTTAGTTTTTAAGTTCTCCCACTTGAAATTTAACAAGAGTGTTTTTTAAAAGCATTGCTCAGAAATCTTTAAAAAAAATTTCTCGTGTTATAACAGACAAAATAAATGTTATACTTCAGTATTTTTGTAGAATGTTTACATTTTTCATTAACTGTTCTGTAATTTTTTCCCATTCACAGGTCTGTTTGACTAAACTTTGAAGCAAAACCGAGACTGTTCTAATTTTTATCATTAAATTTTTTATTTATTTCAATGAATAAAAAATTTTCTCCACACTTGTTTCTGTTTAACTAATTACTAATAAATGGCATATCAAATCATAGATGTTGAATATTCAGTTCTCTAGTTATTTTATTGGAAACATAATGGGCTAAAATGAGTTCATGAGATTTCCATAGGCTGGGATGTTAATAAATGAGTCGCGAGTCTGTGTAGCGTCAGAAATGAATATTACATATAAGTGAACAATGTTAGAGATAGCCCGCTGTTCATGTTAATGTATTTTCTGATTAGAAAGTAAATTGAATGAAACGGCGTTATTAATGATTTTGAAACCTTAGCATGCCTGCGTTTGTACTAGTGCAGTGTGTTGGATACGTGCGTGTGTTGTTACTGCTTGCGCATTTAAAGCATGTTCCTTGCCGGTATTACTCATTATTTATTGCGCAATGAAGTGTGCTGCTTCAAGTTGCTCTTTACTTATCGACATGGTTTGAGATAATGCTCAAAAAACATTGTTTATTGTATGTGCTCTCTGTTCTCTAGATGTTTTAGTGGTATATAAGAATATTTTAACGCATTCGAATCATCATTGCTTCGGGAATTTTTCACAAACTTAAGGAAATTTAGTGATACGCGCGTATTTTTGTAACTAATCTTGGCACAGATGAGTTTTAGCGTGAACTGCAGTAACTTGAATTAGCGTTGATGTTGTATTTTGTATTGTGCATAACTGAATAATGGATAACATAAAGAAGGCCGGATTATTCATACAGAAACTGTTCGGCAGCCAGACACCGCCGAAGGCATCGAGTTGCGACAGCGATATGAACGCCCAACTCTCCAATTCAACAGATGAACGTAACAAACGAGCGACCAAGGCTTCACATCGTCGTCGACACACCGTTCAACTTGAACGCAGTGTAACAGGAGATTTAAAATTTAGAATCAGACCAATGGATAGTTTGGAAGTTTCTGACGAAGAGGTCGCTAAACGAACAAGTCTGATCTCCAATCGTGGTGAGGATGAAATTTCTAAGCTCGATAGTTCACAAATTGATTGCGACAATTCAGATGAAACTTTGGTTGCTAGAGCTCTAGCTCGTAATCCGTCATTCAGCTATGAACATTTCGTTGATTGTGCTGTTTCTTCTGCCGATAGAGAGCTCATCGACAACGCTACTCGTCGAGAAAAATATAAAAGAAGTAAATCAGTCAATCCATCCAAGATCTGCATAGAACAAGAAAGTATGAAAGAAAAATTAAAAATGGACATCAAGGACAGCCAACCATTTGACCTCACATCTACAAATCAACAACATGAAAGTAGCCAACCTTCAAACGATGATCCAGCCGTTCAGTTCTCTAGCATCAAAATATCCAGCAGTTCGCGGAAGCAGATTAACAAGAATGAACATGCTCCAAAGCACACTGACGACGATCGAAAAAATAAAAAAACTCTCAGCATTCAAGCGGAAACATCTAGAGCAAAACACCATCTCCACACAACTGAAAACGAGAAACTCACTAGAAAGAAATCAAACAACAACCTGAACATAAAACATAAATTAGCGAAACACCGATCCATAGAATCGTCAGGAGATCCGGAACAGAAATTAGAATTTCCGACGACTCCGGAAATGCTTCTGGACTACCACAAACACCACAACATACTGGACGCCAACGAGGAGTGGCTCGTAGTCGAATTGAACGAATACGAATGCCTCATAGACAATCTGGAGATCATAAAAATCATCGCTTCTCACTCTAAATTCTTCGAAGTCAGTCCTGAAGAGCTCTGGCAAGAGTTTTTTGAATTCGTTGAAGACGTGCCCTCATACGATGAAGTCATTAATTTTGATGTTTGGCAAGAGTTTAGAGATAAGAAATATACGTGCTAGAAATAAAACTTGAATAAAAAGTAAAATTTTGAAATGACTATTGAGTTGCGTTCCTGCAAATTGCAAAAATATTACATTCATAACTATTCTAAAACATTATTCTTATCCAATTTCAAATGAACAGACGAATTATTGATTGTAGAAAACCATAGATTTAGGAATGGAACACATATTATGCATCAAATTTTAAAAATGATTGTAGTAAGTAATATAATGACAACGCAAATCAAGTAGATATTAATTGAAGTTTTTTGAAAGCGTTGAACTTTTTTTGTTAAACTTTTAATATAATGACAACGCAAATCAAGTAGATATTAATTGAAGTTTTTTGAAAGCGTTAAACTTTTTTTGTTACAATAAAAAGACAAATTGTTCATTCTTATTACACACACCCACCTATACGCACTCACACACACAACATTACACACACACACACGCACATATAACTTTATAAATATTGTTCTTTGTGAGTCTACGATCATAAATATTATACTCACATCTGAAAAATAATGCTATTAACGATAGTAATAAAAGATACACAGTAAGAATATTATTATTAACAATAGGTAATCATGATAATATTTATAAGGCAGAAACATAGAAGCGGATTAAAGCCAATCCTTAACAAAATTTACTCAACAAAAGATGGTATTCATTGATTAGATAATACAGAAACACGGCATACCAGTCAATAACGATAATTATAATTAAATTGCTTTAAAGTTATAGACAGCAAATAACTATAATTACAACAGTACACGCACACACACACACACACACACATACACACACATACACAAACACACTAAACATAAATGAACAAATAACATGATGTTCGTAAGTTAAATTGCCGTATTGGTAATACTAGTAATAGTGTAAGTATAGTAATAATGAAAATACTAAAGGAAGCAGCAGTAGTAGTAGTAGTAGTAGTAGTAGTAATAATAATAGTAATAGTAGAAGTGGTAGTAGTAGTATAGTAGTAGTAGTAGCAGTAGTAGCGGTAGTGGAAGTTAAAATACTACTAATGGTAGCAGTAACAGTAGAAGTATGGTTACTTTTACCAAAAGTCAATTTATGAGGCACTTTAGCCAACTTGACCAAGACGGTGTGGACATTTTGGATAGATTCAATACTTGCCCCTGGTATTGGGGAGAAAAAAAAGAATTAAAAGTAAAATAAATAAATAATATTTATTAAAAATAATTATTAATGACGATGCATATAAGCATGTGTATTCAATTTATTTAATTTTTTAAAGCCTGTTCACTGACTAACCCAGCCATCTTCTTCATCCAACCATTTCATGACAACCGGGTTTAAACACAGAGAGAAGCCGATATATTCTCCAAAAATCCTTTTTTCACTGTCAGTCCCGTCCAAATCCTGTATAAATTTCCTCCAGTACGCAAACCAGACAACAATTCTTCCAATATTGCACTTGTCAAAAACTTCCTCGGCCAGCGTTTGAACTGTAGGGAGGCCTACCATCTCGTGAATTGAAACATTCGAGGAGACAGTTCTGTCAATTTCCTTGACTTCATCGTCTCTAAGTTTCTTTATTGCATTTCTGACTGTCTGTATGTGATTTTTATATGTTTGCAAGTTATCAGGGATTGGAGATTCTAAGTCATATATGCTGTCTACCCCCAGTGCACATGCAATTTCTTTTTTTTTGTTCTGAACTTTTAACTTTACATTAAGATTCAAGTTCTTTGATGAATCAACGCTGGAATCTGTTTCATCTAATAAGTAAGTTGAGAAGTTTTGGATATCTTTGATGATAACTTCTCCAGATGGTGTCATCTGTGTGAATCCTGGAACACTTTGTAATTTTTCAATCTTCTCTTGCAGCAGCTGGTTTGATTCTAAAACTTGATTCATAATCTTTGTTTGTATCTCAACATTTTGACGGAGAACTTCAAATTTTGATTGATAATTCTCAATAACTGGAATGTTTTTCAAGTCAGCTCTGTCTAACTCTGCAACAACATAACTGAAATCGACACTTTCCTTCAAAGACTTGCGGAACATGTCGTACGTTCTTTCATCTTTTAACTTCTCTAACATCGACAAAAACTTTCTCATCTGGTTCCGGTTAATTCCTTCTGCTTTGATTTCCTCTATCATTTCCGAACTGAAATCCGTCAGATTAGAGTACAGATAGTCCTGGATGTCATCAAAAATTACGGAATCTACGATCAATTTGTATGTGGCTTTGATACGAGATTTCTGTTCTTCATTCATTTTCCGGGTAAAACCGTTAGCTGCCAAAACAAAACCAAGTTCAGTTTAGTTCAGCTAGTTAAGTAAAAGTTTGAGTTGAGTTGGTCTTTCTCTTTATTTTCGTTGTTTTGACTGGCGATCTAATGAACAAACTCTATCAACTTAACCGTCTACATTTATAAATCGTTAGAATATGTAATAAATTTAAAAATTTTATATAAAATTCGGAAAATTAGGACGAAAAAATGACGACTTCAATTTTTATTGTTTGTTATTGTTTACTTTATAAGTGAGCGATGATATAATATTAAAAGAGTGAATCCAGGTAAAAAAACCAAAGTATGAACACATAAATTTAGTTACATTTTTTACACAGTTTTAAAATATTTTTAATTTAATATTGAAAATGTACAAATTATAAATTTTTTATAAATGTGTATTATTTTTAAAAAAAAAATCTAAATTACTAAAAAATAAATTTCTACGGCCAGGGCTTTACTCTGGATATTTAATGAATGAATTTTTATGCTCTAGGTTTACCTTTTGCACATTTAAAGGGACAATTTGAATGTCTAAAATTTGTAATTATTTCATCGAAAATTTCATCAAAGTTATCATTTCTGACATTTCTAAAGTTTTTATTTAATGAATAAACAAATAATTGTTAGACACTATTAAAAAGTTAGTTTAATCGAGTTTATAGTCAATTTTTCGTGAAACATTTTTTTCATTTGTAATTTGCTTGTTTTTAAAAACTTTTTTTGAGGATTTTATTTTTCCAATTTAATTATTAAATTAAATTTTATTTGAGAAATTCCTAATTAATTTTTAATATTATTTTGGCATTTGTGTCTTAATTTTCGCTTCTATTGACATATTTGTCCATACTTGATAATTGGTATATTATTGAAAGATTATTTTTTCATTATTCTCCAAAATAATCCAATGTTTTTTGTAAATTATTTTAAAATAAAATAATTTTAAAAAGAATCAATTTAGTAGAGGCATTTATCTCAACAACAGACTAACAAAGCCACATTTCACACATGGATGACATATTATATTGCATATGATATTTTATGATATCTCTTCTATAGATATTGCATATGATATCTCAACAGATAGGCAGATATCTCTATTTGCATTTAAACTGGTTATGACTGGACACTAAAAATGACGTCATCGCGCAGATCTATAATTATTAACAATTAAAGTTATATTATTTGATAAAATGTTAATTAATACCCCACATATAATTAATTTGTTTATAAAAGATATCTGTTTTACTTCTTTAATTCAATTTAAATACTTTAATTTGTTAGTTAAATTATCATACAATCACAATCTAACACACACACACACACACACACACACACACACACACACACACACACACACAAGACTGTTTTTTGATATTTTCACAAGTGATCTTTATCAATTAGACAAAATATGTTGTAGAACAGTTAGGCAGATTGCCATATTAGTAATATCAGTAAACATATATACATATATATGTATGGATGTGTACTTATATAGACGTATGTGTATATACATTTATAATAGCATTAGTAAATAGTGTTAATGTCAATAGTTTATAACTGGGCTATTCATGTTGGATGTAGAAACAATGTTAACATTGGATGCAATATGCTTTTGCCCACATACACACATCCATAAAAACAAACAAACAAATATACAAACAAACAAACGTACTCACATATATACAAACATAAAAAACATACAAGCATATGTCAGAAACCAACATAAATGCATACATACATTCATACACACTAACATATATATACGCATATCTATATAACAGCTTTATATAAATGTATTAAACATATGTCCATGAATATATGTATGTATGTTTGTTTCTAAGTGCGTATGTGCGTATGTGTATATTTATGTATGTTAAAACCAAATGATGCTTCAGTTTAAGCATTGGCAAATAAATACAAATAAAAATGTTTGCATATGTTTCAAGTTTATTTGTTGCTTTGGACTGTTGTTTTGTATGTTATATGTATTTATATTCGTGTGTGCGTGTGTGCGTGCTTGTGTGTGTGTGAAAGAAAGAAAGGAAGAGAGAGAAAAAGAGAAAGAAAGAAAGAGAAAAAGAGAGAGAGAGAGAAAGAGAGAGAGAGAAAGAGAGAGAGAGAGAGAGAGAGTGAGAGATGAAGATAATAGGATGAGGATAATGTTTGTGTTTGTTTGGCTGAAAAGCAGACAGATAAGCGCCTCTATAGAAAAATGAAGATTGCTCTGGTCTTGTAAAATAATAATAATAATAATAATAAGAACGGCAATAATAACAACATTAACGAAAATAATAATAACAATATTAAGCTAAATAGCAATAAGGATATTTAATAATTTCGAACCTAAATGAAATATGTTGTTTCATATGTTCACAATGATGCTGTTATATTGGGATGATTTCTTTGAATAACTCTGTGCAAACATTCGTATGTGTGTTTGTATGTACAAAACTAAATGATTAAGCATACCAGCTCACATTTATACGTATGTAAATACACACATACACTCGAAAAAACAAACACACACATAAATAAACACGTACATTCATACATACCTACATACACACAACATACACACACACATTCATACATACACACATACACATTCAAACATACATTCATACATACATACATAAAAACATACAAACATAAAATATGAATGTATTGAATAATTCAATGTACTTAGAAAATGGAATAAAGATGGCCACATCTATCTCTATGCTGTTAGTTAAGAGGGAACAATTTGAAAAAATGCCAAAAAATATCAAAAGATAACGAGAAATAACGAGATATAACGAAAAACATCCTCTTTTATATATATTTGCGTATATATTCATTTGCATAAATATCGTTTCGGATCGTTGTATTGTATATGTGTGTTTGTATTTATATGTGTGTGTGTGTGTGTTTGTTTGTATGTGTGTGTATGTGTTTGTATTTATATGTGTGTGTGTTTGTTTGTATGTGTGCGTGTGCGTGTGGGTGCTGTGTATTTATTAAGAATACAATTAATTTTCCACTACAGAATTCAATAGCTGTTCTGAAGCTTTGCTATTAACTTTGAACAAGGGAGAGGCACGACGACGACAACAACAACAACAACAACATTATCATCATCAGCCGTCTTAAAAACAACAACAACAACAGCAGTTACAACAACAACAATAACATCAACAACAACAGCAGTTACAATCACAACAACAGCATCATTACCATCAAAAAATCATTACAAATAGAGCCAATATCATTGCTATACTATCAAAAAAAACGAGTTGAAGCAACGACATCACATTATAAACAACATAAAGACATCAACAATACCAACAACAACTACATTAATAAGAAGATCCATTCAGTCTTTCACTGAAATCCAATATCAATAAATACCACAACATCGAAATAATTATCTGATTTGTATAAACAAATTTCATTAATATTTTTGATAAAAAAATCTGACGTTTAGTTCATTCTGGTTTAGAATTACAAAGACATCAACAACAACAACAACATCAATAGCAACAACAACAACAATAACAACAACATCAACATTAACAAAGACATCATTAAGTTTTAGCATCATCAACAGCTAACAAAGTTTTTTTAGTTTTTTTTAACAAACATCAAACAACATTTCGTGTCAACAAACAACAACAGCATCATCATCAACAATCAATCGCCACCTACTGCCACTACATCTACTACCGTTACTACAACAACTACAGCAACTACTAATACTACTACAATACCAACAACATCTTAGCCACAACTCGGAAACATCCTTAAAGATGGGCAAGGAGCAGAGCAAACTGAAGCCAGAAGCTTTGGAAGACTTAAGGAAGAACACTGCATTCACGGATGACGAAATTCAGGAATGGTATCGTGGCTTTATGAAGGATTGCCCGTCCGGAAAGCTCTCGAAAGAGGAATTCAAAAAGATTTATGCCAACTTTTTTCCAAGTGGCGATGCGTCTATGTTTTCCGGTTCGTTCGTTCGTTCGTTTGTTCGTTCGTTTATTTGTTCATTTGTTTAATATTATAATTAGTATTTTTTATATCATTATTATTGTTATTGTTATTATTATTTATGATTATGTTTGTTAAGCACATGAGGTAACACGCTAGCATGAAAAATAAACTCATCCATTTAATGGTCGGAGCTAATCATTTAATGGCTGCTTTAGTTTATTAGTTTGTTCATTTATTTTGTTGTTCTTTCATTCATTCATTTATTCTCCTTCATACATTTGTTTGTTCGTTTGTTCATTCGTTCGTTCGTTTGTTCATACGTTTGTTTATTTGTTTGTTCGGGCATTCGTTTGTTTGTTCATTCATCCATTCACTCACTCACACATTCATTCCTTCATTTTTTCATATTTCTTTCTTTTATCCATTCATTCATCCACTTATCTAAGTTCCATCACTCAATAACTTATCCATACAGTCACATACGTATGTAAACTAATGTAAACAATATAGAGGCAAAATAAAAACATCCATCCATACATTCATATTAATGCAGAACACGCACATTCATCCTCAACCACAAACTTTACCGCTACTGCTACTAATACTACCACAACTGCTAATACTACTACTGCTGCTGCTACCATTGCTGGTACTGTTACTGCTACTTCTTTTACTACTGCTGACGACAGTAACGCTACTACTTCTGCTACATAAACGTAGATTGTCGCTGTTAATCCCATGGGTAATTTCTGTGCATACGTTTTTGTATATACTGTCTGTACTTAATTATTTCGTGTTCTATTGTATTTATTCATTTGTTTTGTTTGTTTTTTTTTGTTCATTTGGTTTATTCTTTTGTTCATCATTCGTTTATTCATTTGTCGGTTCGTCCATTTATTCATTCATTCATTCATCCAACTATGACTAATAAACTCATTCATTCACTCATTCGTTCATTCATTTGTAATGTAAATAGAATGTTATTGATAGATTTTATGTAAGTATGTGTGTGTGTGTGTGTGTGTGTGTGTGTGTATAGCAATACACGGTGTGGGGCACATTTTAAAGACGTTTAAAGTCAATCGATACATGTCTTTATATTAATTGATCATTTGTCAAATTAAAATGACGACGACGACGATGATGATGTTGGTGATGATGATGAGAGAGTTTGATGATAATGTAAATCATGATAACGATGATGACTGTGACGAGTATGACGACGACGATGATGAAAATTTTATTTATCAAACTAAAATACTCGTTTGATATAAATGTGCAAGTTAAAAAAAGACTAGCCACCAATTTATTAAGTGCTAGATAATTTAATTCCTCTTCTCATCTATATATATATATATATATATATATATATATATGTGTGTGTGTGTGTGTGTGTGTGTTTATATTTGTGTATATGTGTGTGTGTATGTGTGTGTATATGATGTTCTAAATGTATTACAATATATGTAGTAGTCCTAGTACACCAGTAAACTATGCCTAGTCTAGCTTATAATACTGTTGAATCGGCCATACCACGTAATTTCATTCATCAATTTTTTTTCTCATTTATTTTTCATTCGTTCGTTCGTTCGTTTGATCGTTCGTTCGTTCGTTCGTTCGTTCGTTTGTTTGTTCGTTCATTTGGTTCTTTCTGTTCATTTTATTACCCTCATTTTAATTTCCCCAAGATCCTGTTTTGATAATTTGTGGATCTGTTCATCAAATATTTACGCATTTTACTCTTTGTATATCTGCCTGTCTATCTATCTGTCTCCTTCTGTCTTTCTTTCTCTGTCTGTCAGACTATCTCTCACTGCTCTCTGTTTCTCTCTCTCTCTCTTCTTCTCTCTCTCACTCTCTCTTTCTTCTGTCACTCAATATTCTTTCATTTTTATTCACAGCTCATTTTTATAGTCACACATTTAAAATGCAGATTAAATCACCCCAACACGTGGGCGTTTGTTTGTTCGTATGTACGTGTGTGTGGGTGTGTGTGTGTATCTCTGTTTGTATTTGTATATGTGTGTATGCATATAAATGCGATGTATATCCGTGTATGTATGTATGTGTGTATGTATATATGTGTATGTATGTATGTATGCATGTTTGTGTATGTTTGTTTGTGTGTGTACGTGTGTTTTTTGTGTTTTCAATAATTATTATAACCATAATTGAGACGACGATAATTATATTATGTTTCATTCTTGTTATAATTAAGGCAGTTGTTGATGGATGTTAAATACTGAATGGCTACAATTACTGATTGTTATCAGTTGGTTTTTGATGGTTAGGTCTTTTTTTGATGTAATGTTGATGTAATGTTGAAAAAACGTCACAGTAACAACAAAAACAATGCAATGACGTCACAGTAACAACAACAATAACATCACAACAACAACAACCTCCTCAACAACAACATCAACAACAACAAAGCCTCTCGATAAAAATATAAACCATTTTGTAATTGGATGAATGTGACTTGCTGTCTCTTAATGGTCCTTTTTATTTTCTGTTTTGTCGTTGTTGTTGTTGTTGATGTTGTTGTTGTTGTTGTTGTTGTTGTTGATGCTGTTGATGTCGTTGTTGGTTCCGTATTACTGATGTAATTGCCGATGTTTTATTTTGTTCATGTCATTGCCATCACCAACATTAACATAATTACCATCGCCGTCATCATCGCTGCCATCATCTTCACCCTCTTCATCCTCATCTCCATTCTCTTCATCATCCCAACCCCCACCGCCATGACAGGTCACGTGTTCCGGACGTTCGACACAAACAACGACGGGACGATAGACTTCCGGGAATTCCTCTGCGCCCTCAGTATAACCTCCCGAGGCAACCTGGAACAGAAGTTGAAGTGGGCCTTCAACATGTATGATCTTGATGGAAACGGTTTCATCTCGAAGAGAGAGATGCTGGAGATTGTGAGCGTAAGTTTCGATGGAGATGTTGACGACGGAGAGGGGAGGGGTGGGGGTGTTTGGTTTGATGATTGTATTATAATATAATTCCGAAGATTCTTATTATAACTTCATTGTCAGAATCGCTTTCATCATCTTCATCGCCATCATCATCATCAACAACAACAACATTGCTATTATCTTCAACAACATCAACATCATCATCATCATTATACCATCAACATCGTCGTCATCGTCATCATCATCAGGCTATCTACAAGATGGTAGGCAGTACAATGAAGATGCCGGAAGATGAGTCTACTCCGGAAAAAAGGACAGACAAAATATTTCGACAGATGGACAAGAACCTGGATGACAAACTTTCATTGAAGGAGTTCATAGACGGCGCCATGAATGATTCTACCATTGTTCAGCTGCTTCAGTGCGATCCTGGGCAGGCTTGATTGATTGGGTTGATTGGTTGGCTGGTTGATTGGTTGGTTGGCTGGTTAGTTGGTTGGCTGGTTGGTTGTTTGGTTGGTTGGTTGATGTGTTGTTCGGTTGATGGATTGATTTGGTTTAGTAAACTAGTTGGTTGGCTTGTCAATTGATTTTCAATGTAAAATTGTGTGGTTTAGGTCTGGCTAATTTGCTCTACAACATATACGAATAACAAAGCTCACAGAAACATTTTTTGCATCGGTCATATTACATATTACATTACAAAAACTCGTACGTAAGTACATACATACATACATACATACATACATACATACATACATACATACATACATACATACATACATACATACATACATACATACATACATACATACATACATACATACATACATACATACATACATACATACATACATACATACATACATACATACATACATACATACATACATACATACATACATACATAC